AGTTGCGTGGCATTTCCAAATAAAAAGATATTCGACCAAAAGTACACTTTAGTCCGTTTTAGCACACTTCCAAAAGACTCCGAAAACTATCCTTTTCCCTTGGCAGCTAATAAACAACTCTACAGTAAACGTCAAAGTTAGCCAAATTATGCAGGAAAACACATGATTTGACACTGCCGAAAGGAGTGGAAAATGTCTTTCTACGATTAGAATTCCTCGCTAATCTTAGTTTTCGGAGCTTTTTAGGGGTTTCACGAATAGGTCACACGTAACAGAACTAGCGTAAAAGAAATAATTACGAAAATCCACGCAACAATAAATTGTGTTGTCAATCTGTCAGTTTTCACGCCTAATACTTCAGCCGGCGACAGGATAGGGTTCTTATTCCTACCGCTAGCGACTATGTCGCCACCGTCATCGCGGAGTTCTCGGCTCAGGGACCAGGAGCCTTAACGGTCATAGTGGTTAAAAGGTATCACAAGTATTGACTTTACTGATCTTTATCAATTCCATGATCTTATTTGAATCTTTTTCAGGTAGATTTCGAAATACTTCACTAATCGTAATTTCTTTTTCGTGAAATTTAATAGAAAATGCCAAACGTGTTTTTAAAAAGTTTGCGTTCGCCGAAAGCGCAAGCCGTACAAGATTACACATCATTTCCAATCGTAATATAACGTACAAAATTAAATTCGCACCTTAATTTGAAAGTTGGCACATCATATTTATCACATGTTTTTTACAATTCTTTAAGCATGCAATAATCACTTTATTCTACTGACAATGAGCCAGTTGATACATAAGATAAAATCTACGTAAAAGCTCGTATCTCTCTCACTATGTGTTTTTAATTTACTAGTCATACCTTTTTCTTCTCCTTCATGCGTACTAGAGACATTCATAAAGTAGCTGCTGCTGGTAGCCCAAAGCAACTTTTTTGATAAAATAGACGATTTCGTTCCTATTATAAATTTGATTAAGTTCTCATTCTCAGACTCAGGGGTTAAGGAGGATGTTAGTTAAGGCAGTAAGTTCATGTGTAAAAAATGATATAATACAAATGCAGGTTTTATTTAAAAAATTCAAGATTACCTTCATGTAACCTTCAAACGACTATCCAAGGTCAAACCAATGATACCAACTTATGTCCCCCTTAAAACCATATAACTTTTGTCTGAAACATTTGTTTCTAAAATTCAGTTTTCGAAAAATTTAGAGGTTTCCATAGTTTTTCCTCACCGTGTATATGTATAAGATATGTGTACTTCTTCCAAATACCTTACAGGCGAGCTGCGGGCACCACGATCTAAACACTTTAAAACCATCAATTGATTATTTATCAAGTTTAACTCAAATGGTAGCCTTGTAACCTTTGTAAATATTTTATTTCTTGATGATCGGATTACGTATTTTTTTTTACATTGAATGTCATATAATTTGCTCAATATATGTTACTAAACTAGAAATAAAGATAAATAAATAACGAAATATAAGTTTATCTATATAAATTAAGACAAGGTATAATTATTAATTCAATTGTACTTCAATTTACTTGCATTTTATTGACACCCAAATTAATGACAATATTGAAAACGTACAACGGTGATAAATATTAAAAAATAACAATCAAGTTTAACTTTATGAAAAATAGCTTGCTGTCTCGTCGGAAATGGTAGTTGCAAAAGTTCCTAACATTATGATAGGTACACAGAATGACCCACAGAACTACGATTAAAAATCTCAATAAAATATAATTTCTTATTATAAAACATAACTGACATAAGTCTGTAAGGAATTTTTACTTTTTTATTTCCTTCCGTTTTAGATCAACACAAGTAGACGAGAAAATTATAAGCAATCTATACGAAATATACTTAATAGTAGTTTTTTTCGTATACACAAGTTCAAATAAAATATTACTTTTAGTGTGTCTTAACACTTACATTTGCACATACATTCTTACATAAATAAAAATCAAAAGTTATATTTTTAAGAAACCAAACACATGTTTATTCATTGTAAATTAATCTTTATCACGAAAAAAAATCTTTGTCGCGTTCTTTGTTTAATTAATTTATAATTAAAACTATATTATATGAATTGTAGTAAACAGCCAATGCAAATTTTTGAAGGCATAGATGATAGTATCACTGAACAGTATCACAAGTTTTGACTTCGAGTATTTTACTTTTCTTAATCAGTTCCATGATCTTATTTGAATCTTCTGGTAGTAGACTTAGAAATGCTCTAGACTTCGTAATTATTTTTTCATGGAATTTAATGAAAGTTGCCAAATGTTTTTCTAAAACTTTTGCGTTTGACGAAAAAGCAAGCTGTACAAGTTCCACAGTATTGTCAACCGTAAAAGAACGTACCAAGTAATGTTCACATATAAATTTTAAAGTTGGTACATCATATTTATCAGATGTTTTTAACAATTCTTTAAACATGTAATAATCACTTTTGTTTATTGACAATGAGCCAGTTAAAATATATGATAAAATCTTTTTAAAAGTAAGCATCTCACCAAGTCTTTCTAATTCACTTGTCATATCTTTTTCCTCCCCTTCATGCGTAAGACAGACATTCATAAAGTAGCTACTGTTGGTAGCCCACAACAACTTTTTTGATATAATGTATGATTGCTCTCCTACTACAAATTTGATTGACTTCTCGTTCTTAGACTCAAATTTAAGGGTTGAGTTGTTAAGACGTTTCATGTCTTTGAATATTGTTAAGGAAGATGGTAAATCCATATGCATTGTGCTACTTATCAATTTTTGATAAATTTCAATCTTGCAATGTATCGCCAAATCATAAAACCGTGGGTATGATTGCCCAATTTCAACTAACAATGTCTTATCATGTATAATACCAGAAACATATTTATTTGATAACGATTTATTTGACTCGCGGTAACTATCTGTTACAGTAGTAGTACACGAAGCGGTAAACGCTGTAAGAGTACGTATATAAAATTTTATTATTTTATCTTGATGTGAATTATTCATTTCAATCCTGAATTGATCTTGAGCAAACGGTGGAGATAGTAGTGTACTCGTGGCTTTGTAAAAACGATCAAATCCTACAATTTTCCATGTATATTCAAATGTGGTGAATTCCATTCGTGACTCAGAATAGCTTTTGGTACACGAAGGTAAATATGGTAAAGATTGAGTCATCTCACAATCAGTAGAGATATTATCAACTTCTTTGTCGGACACCTGGAAATATTTAAGTTACTTATCACTGATGAAAATAAACAACATCAAAATATAAAAGCCTAAAAGCCTCTATGCCTTTTAATAAGATGGGTTGAATTTAAAAACAATGTCTTAACATACAATATAATAACATATTTACATGTACAGGTAAGAGGTATTTGCAAGCTGAGTCCACCAAAAGTACATGGAGATTTTTTAGACTTTCTATGTACAGGTATTTAACGTATCTTATTTAATTAAAATAACATTTTATGTAAGAAAACCACAAGATAATATGAAGAATCCAAATTGTAGGAGAGATCTTAAAACATGGCTATTTCTATTAATTCAGTTATAATCGATTTTATAAATACTTGAAAAGTTTGTCTAAATTTTGCCTTACACATTTCACTGAATAATTAACAAACTAACTTTCTAAGTGAGATCTCAAACAATCTCTAATACTATAATTATAATCTGTAATTGAAAACAGATTTGATATGTAAATGTTTGTGAATTCTCCCTGTTATACATAGATTTATCGCATTAAAAAATATCATCGAATGTATAGTTTGTACAAAATTTTATATGCCTTCTTGTAACACGCACTTGGCGAAGTTGAGAAAAGAACTGTTGATACTCACTTGGTTCTTCGCCATTATATACGTTCGTCTTTCAAATATTTTGGTCGGTTAAAGATTTTCAGTTTTTTCTTCAGACGACGCTACTTCGAACACTGTCCAAATGATATTATCAAATTAATAATACGTATGGGACCTCAGTTTTCGTATGGATCGAGGAGCGATACATGCGTGAGGGTGAGAGTAGGATAAAGAAGAGAGAGTGAGCGAGAGAGAGAGTGAGAGAGAGAGAGGTGAAGCAGAGACGTGAGTGAGTGAAAGAGGCAGGATATGATGGAAGAAGTGCTAGGAGAAGTAGGGGTGGGGAAGAGATGGATGAGGATGTTGGTGGGGTCTAAGGAAAGACGTAGGGGGTGTGATGCAAGGGATGGAGAATGAATGTGAAGGAATGAATGAGAGGGAATGAGGGAGAAGAAGAGAAAGGAAGTATAAGGAAAAATAGGAAAAGGAGATTGTAAACGGAAACGGAAGTCCAGAGCGGGCGTGACGTGCGCATGTGTGTATATATAGGATAGGAGATAATTCTAAGAGCAAAATATGTAAAGGAGAAATGTATAGGATATAAGAACTGTATAAAGAATATAAAATTGTCTTGTTGTATTGCGGTATTTAAATGTAAGGTACTGATTGTAACCCTAAGGGGAATCAATAAATTATATACAGGGTGTGTCCTAATACCCGTATGTCCCGTAGATGGTAGATAGACCGGGGCAAACTGAATAGAAAAGTCCTATACAATTTTGCAAAATTCGCAATGGTTATCGAGAAATTAATTTTAATGTCTGAGCGAATGAGAGCGTAGAAGGCTGCAGGCCGGACTCGCCAGGCAACGGTGGGGCATTATCTAATAGCGACAGGTGGAGCAGCGCGCCGAAAGAAGTTGTCAAAAAAGCTCGCTGCGTGACAACTTTTTTCGCCGCGCCACTCCACCTCTCACTATTAGACGATGCCCTACCGTTGCCTGCCGAATCCGGCCTGCCGCCTTCTACGCTCTCATTCGCTCAGACATTAAAATTAATTTCTCGATAACTATTCCGAATTTTGCAAAATGGTATAGGACTTTTCTATTCAGTTTGCCTCGGTTTATCTACCATCTACGGGGCATACGGGTATTAGGACACACCCTGTATATATATATATATATATATATATATATATATATATATAATGCGTGTGGGATTTCTTTGAATTCTTTTTAGTAAGCTACTACGAATATAACGTCAAGATATGTTATAAGAGACAACACTTATACCAATCGAGTTCTTAGCAGTGAAAAATGGTCCTCGAGCCACAACAAGGTACTGCCAAGATGGCCAAGATGCAAATCAACAATTGAACGTAGTCGCTGCAGAGATCCCAGATTCAAGTTCGACGCCTCAACTGTTTTGGTATAGATAGAGGAGGCAGACGTGCTCTGAGGGTGCCGTCCCATGGCGCGTATCGCGATACGCGCGTATCAGGCGTATCGAACACTACGACCAATCACAGCCCAGTCAGAAAGGTAACCTTGGGTCTGTTTTTTATTGCTGCACTCCTGAACTAGTGCACACTGGTGCAATGAGTTGGAATGAGAAGTAATCTATTTGTTTCATTTTAACTTATTGCACTAGTTCAGTAGTGCAGTAATAAAGAACAGGCCTCTTGATTCAAGGTTGATTCAACATCGATACGGTTATCAGCTGGTTATACTGTACTTTCAATTTTTATATGCATTCTAGTGTTAAGTAATACACTCTATAATATAATAAGAATATGCTCTAAGTATTAAGAAATATGTAATTTGAACTTGTGCGTATGAATAAAATTATTATTAATTATATTTCACAGCTATGAAACTTATTAATTATATTTTGTATAACTATTATTTCCTTTTAGTTATATAATTCTCTCTTTCTCTCTCTCTCTCTCTCTCTCTCTCTCTCTCTCTCTCTCTCTCTCTCTCTCTCGTACGTTCTCTCTCTTTCGCTCTCGTTCTAGCTCTGTCAAGATAAGATAAAAGCGAGCAATGAAAACCGCAAAACATTATAAAAGAAATTCAAACTATTATTGAATCTAATATTGTTCATCTACAGAACACTTGGAAATTTCTAATAAGATACATTATTGATAAAAATTAATATACAACCCAGATAGCACAGGTGATCCATATCAACTCAAAAAGAATTCACTTTTTTAAATTCTTTATGAATTACTTTAATCTATTTCAAATGAACTCAAATGTAGTTCTTTCCGGTAGTTCAAAAAGGACTCCATAGAAGTATACCTTTCGACTTCTTATAGGATCAAATTAAAGTATTCTGAAGGAAGTCCTTTTCCTGTTCATAATGGGTTCGAAAAGAATTCCTTTTTGGTGTACTCAATACACAATTGTC